TAATGGCGTTCATCTTCCGAGGACGTCACAGCCTGAGTGTCTTCCCTCATATTTCGTGCTCGTAGTTTCCTGTAGGAAGTCATCTCGTCACGCAGGACCTCTCCCCATCTGCTCAGGATTTCCCTAACGGCCTTCTGGAAATCCTCCCTTGTGTCTCGGAAGAAGTAATGGGAGAAAAAGTGTCCTTTCCTTGTGATAGGAAAAGATTTCTCTGTGAAGTTAGAGAGACCACCCAAACGAGAGGACGTTCCCAAATTGCGTCTTCGGTGACGTTATACTTATTAGTTTCTTGAGACTCCCTGCCACTTTCTTGTCCAAAGCGTCTCAGTCTATTGCTGTCCTCGAAACTGCAATCAAGATAAGGCGTCTCTGTCCCCGACGTGAAATCTCGAGAGAAATGACGAGTTTCCTCGGACTGAGACGTCATATACTCGTTCAGTCCATTTTGGTTCTCATTCTTGGTCTCAAGCAGACGTTTTTCCGCAGGAAGTGAAGGTGATTTCGAGTGAATTATTTCTTTTGTGATGCGTTTTGCTTCAGTTTTAATGGAGTTTTCAGCAGTATTTGCCTCGACATTTCCTTCCTGCAAAATAATAACTTAATACAATATTTACGTAGTGTATTTTTTTTTTTTTTATTCATGGTGATTACTCCTAGCAAAAGATATATCAATAATAGCTTTAGAACATACCTTAAACATCACAGTGACTGTGAGGATGCCATCTAAAGACATGACAGAAGTGATTTTAGTAAACTGTGGAAGAGAGAAGCGGCGTCTGAAGGAGTGAGAGGTTTCGGATGAGGTTCCTTCTTCCTTCTTCACCACAAGTCCCTCGATGACCAACTCCTTCTCATCAACGACCTTCGCTTGTACATCTCCACTCATGAAATCATGAACGTCCATAATTATCTGGAAATAATATGTAGCTTTTTATATGGCAACCTACTTTTGAAATGTTATTTCGGGAATCGTGGTAGTAATTTATTTAGTAATAATATTGATATTACTCAAAATGACACAAAAAGTAACAATGAAGTCGACTAACCTTCATACAAGACTTTGTCTGATGTGACGATAGCGGCCTGATTCTCTTCCCTCAGATCGCGAGACCGAAGCTGCCTGTAGCGTTCCAGGATATCGGTGTGGCGGAGGTCAGTGTCGTCCTCAAAGTTGTCTTGATTGCACCTGCCCAACACCTGCCTGAGAGCGGCACTGAAGTCTCGGTGAGCGTCGAGGAAGAATGAGTCTTGGAAGAAGTTTCCTCTTTTGGTGATGAGCAAGAGTTCTTCTGGCGAATCTCTGTGAATCCTTCTTGTTCCTTTCAAGGATTCGACAGCTTCTGCAGACTCTTTTGCAATTGTCGTGGATGAAGTAATTGTATCTATTGGGTTGGATTCTTTGGTTTCAGTCGTTTCTTCTAGGTTCAGCTGCCCGACACTATCGACGGCTTCCTTTCTGGGTACAATCTCTGGATAACTGCACGGAATTTGTGCAACTCTCAATGGCTGCCGACTGAGTCCTTTTGCTGTCGAGTGTTTCCTCAGGGATTGTTTGGTGATTAAAGTTCTCTTGAACTGCTGACTCGTTCTCATACTTATTTTGCCAAGAAAATTGTGCAAGTTCCTCATCCATAGATTTGGGGCTTTCTTGCACAGACGCGGCATCCTCAGTTACATCGAAAATGGTTGAACACTTTGAGTTCTGAGCTTCTGACTCATTCTGACCCTCAACAACAGTTTCCTGTGAGTCTTTCCCATCAAGAATGTCAACAGATTCCTGGGAATTTTGAAGATGAAGAATTTCAACAGCTTCTTCTGAGACTTTCAGATCCAAAAGTTCAGCAGCTGCCTCTGAATCTTTTTGATCGAGAATATTAACATATTCCTGGGAATCTTGAAGATCAGGAATTTCAAGAGCTGAACCTTTCACTTCAAGAATGTCAACATCTTCCTGCGAGTCTGTAAGATCAAGAATTTCAATAGCCTCTGAGCCTTTCACTTCAACAATGGCAGCAGATTCCTGTGAGTTTTTCAGCTCAAGATTTTCAACAGTTTCTTCTGAGTCTTTTAGATCAAGAATATCAACAGCCTGTTGAGAGTCTTCAAGATGAAGAACTTTCACAGTTTCGGAATCGTTTTCATCTTCGGGAATGGCAGACAGAAGAGAATCCTGGGAGGAAGTTCCAAAGTCACGAGAGGCAGACAAATTGCCAGACGTTTCAGTCATGGCGATCGAACTTCGGCGACACAGGGAAGCCTCTGAAATATCTGCAAACTCGGAGCAAGACTGCATTTCATCAGATGAGATCGGAATCTTTACATCTTCAATGCTTCTTTTCAGTCATGTGTGGCTTTGCTTTCTTTTTCACATTCCTCATGGAGGGAGATGGTTTCATCAGCTGGGAATAGCGAGCGTTGAACTTGAGAGGATTTTTGAACTTCCTCAACGGACCTGATCACTTTGTGATCTTCCGGTTCTTCTGCCTGTTAAACAATTTAAATATAAGCTTAAAATTTATACTTGATCTTATAAACAGAAACACGAGTGAGTGTGTGTGAGTGCGCACGTGAGTATGTGTGTCAGAGAAAGAGGGTGCTTGTGAGTGTCTCCGATGTGCACATATTTATTTCTAACATCTTTTTATATTCTTAGTACCTGACATTTTCATCTTTGTAACATATAGCATAAGTAATTGTCATCTCCAGATAATCCTTACATACCATTTTTGAAGCGCTGATTGTAAGAATGCCATCTGAAGACATGATGCACGTGATGGCTGTCATGTCAATGTGCTCTGGCAAGGAGAAGCGGCGTCGGAAGGAGTAGGAGGACACGGACTTCTTCTCTCCTCTCCACACGACCCTCCACCACCACCTCCGTTTCTCCCGCCACCTTCACCTTCAGATCCCCGTTCATGAAGTCTTGGACGTCCAACACGATCTGAGAAAATTTATGTATATTAAACAATAGCCATAATGCTTACATCTGGATATCATATTTGAATCAATAAATGTTCACATGAAGAATACATGTAAACAGTTGCAGGTAGATTGAAAAACAATTGGGTTTTGATCTCCAAAAGCAAACATATTATATTCGTAAGAGTGATTCTTGAACTACTTACCTTGTAACTAGTGTTGTCGGACGTGACGATAAAGACTTGGGTCTCTTCCTTCAATTCTCGGGATCGAAGCTGTCTGTAGCGGTCCAGGATATCACTGTGACTAAGGCCAAGGAAGTCCTCACTGTGTGTCACTTCGCTGTCTTCGCTGACCCACTTCCTCAGGACCTCTCTGATGGCAGCGTCGAATTCTTGGCGGACATCGAGGAAGAAAGAGTCCTGGACGAAGCTTCCCCTTCGAACGATGGGCAAGATTTCCTCGCCCAGTTTGATGGCTTCAGTCGAATCAGATTCTGATTGCACAGTTGCTTGTTTTTCAGAAACTGAATCATCATAAGAGGCTTTTTCAACGACTGTCGATTCAAGAGTTTCAGCCAATCGCATGAGTTCATGATCCTGATTATTGGCAACGTGTCCACGAACAGAAGCAGTTGTAGACTCATCCACAGACGGATTTTGGCAGATCTTGGACTCGAACACTTCCTTGGATTCAGCAGGAAATTCGAATTCTTTCTTCAGCTTTCTCGTCTTGTTCTCGTAAGAGTGTTTTCGTTCACACCCAAACTCCATCTGATCCACATTAACAAGATTCTCGTGAACAGAGATATTTTTTCCGTCACGAAACTGCTTCGGGTGTTGAGTCTTGAGCTGTTGATGATTCCTTCCTTTCTTCGGTCGTGGAGAAGTTAACGCGTGTGTTTTGCTGTGGTTCTCCTGCCTGAATGAGAAAGAAAGTCACATTTCTACGCATGCATAGACTAACTCAGTGTTACATTGCAGTGTGATTAGCGTTCTAGGTCTACATATTTACCTTTTTAAACATGAGTGTGTAATGTAAACATATAGTATTATCTTAACATAAAAGTTATTTACCGTTTTAAGAACAGTTATTGTGAGGATGCCATCCGAAGACATGACAGAAGTGATGCGTGTCATGTCAGTGCTGTGAGGCAGGGCAAAGCGGCGTCTGAACGACCTCCTTCCTCCTCCTCCGCGCGCCCTTCCACCACCAGCTCCTCGTCGACGACTTTCACCTTGACGTCTCCGCGCATGAAGTCATGCACGTCCAGCACGATCTATGAGATTGAAATTGAATTGAATTTGCTTATTTTTTATAATGAAAATATGTCAATTTGATAGGACTGAATGATAATTAATGAATAACAATGATAATAAAATTAATGAAGAATGACATTGATAATGATATTGATATAATAATGTAATAATGATAGTAATGATAATGAAAGTAATAATGATGATAAGAAAAAAAAAGAAAGAAAAGAAACAAGCAGAATGAATGGGATAATGATGAAGCTCCATAATATTAAGATAATTAGAAGACAATGCTGAATGCAATACACAGAGAGGGGACTGACCTTGAGGCTGGCACTGTCTGACGAGACGCAGAAGGCCTGGTTCTCTTCCCTCATGTTTCGAGATCGAAGCTGCCTGTAGCGGCTCAGGATGTCACTGTGACTGACATCGCCTGTCAGCGTGAGGTCGGAGTCGTCGCATTTCTTCAAGATTTCCCTGACGGAGGCGTCGAAGTCTCGGCGAATGTCGGAGAAGAACGAGTCTTGCAAGAAGCTTCCTCTCCTCGCGATGGCCAAGGAATCGTCTTGCGAACTGCCAAGAGTTTCCTTTGCTTCCAGCGAGTCGGAATTTCTTGTGGAAGCGAAATCTGAGATCACCGACGACTGCTTCTGTGATGATATTTGGGTGTTGCTTGAGATACTGGAAGCTGCAGTTTGGGTCTTGTTCTCGTCGATCTTCTCCTGATGGCATCGTGTGGATTTGCGTTCCTCCTGTTGGGCTGTGTGGGACGATTCTGGCCAGACGCCGCTTCCTCAGAAACTCCCGAGGTCGTCGAGGAAGTTGAGCTGTGAACTTGTGCATTGTGCGTTTCCTTGACGCTAATGGGGATGACAGTCGTCTTCTGTTGTGTTTCAGTCTCCTGTTGGTTTAGGATGGCGTATTTACCATGCGAATGCCTTCTACATTTTAATGAAGTCAGTTTTATAACACAGAAAAGCGTGATATATTAAAAGAAAAGCTAGGACAATACCTTCTTGGTCACAGTGATTGTGAGGATGCCATCTGACGACATGACAGGCGTGATGGATGCCATGTCAGTGACTCAGGCAAGGAAAAGCTGCGTCTGAAGGTGCGCGAGGACCCGGCCGAAAGGGCCTCCACCAGCAGCTCCTTCTCGCCCATCAGCTTCACCTTCACATCTCCATCCACAAAGTCATGCATGTCCAACACGATCTGTGACATGATTCACGCTATCAGTACAAAACAAAAGTTTTTCATTCGCCATAAATCGTAAAATTATTTATTATATTTTTCAACATATAGATAAATTGGATAAGAGTGTGTAGTCTACATGCTACTTACCTTATAACTGATATTATCCGAAGTGACTGTAACGGCCTGGTTGTCACTCCACAGGTTCCGCGATCGCAGCTGTCTGTAGCGGCCCAGTCTGTCCGCCAGCTGGAGGTCGGCGTCATTCCAGCCGTTGAGGACCTTTCCTGATGGAGGCGTCGAAATTGCGGTGTATACCGGAGAAGAATGAGTCCTGGAAGAAGTCTCCCCTTCGAGTGATGGGCAAGAGAGTGTCCCTCGAACCGCGGTGAACTAGAGGAATCAGCTGTTCCTTTGGTCCCAAAATGGCATGAACAAGTTTCTTTTCGTGCAGAAGACGAGCGTTCTGAGTCTGTGCTAAGACTTGACTGTGTAGTTTCCGATTCGTCGTTTGATGCCATTTGTGTTCGAGTTTGGCTGACTTTCTCACAGTTATTCAAAGTGGAAGTCTGAGTGATGATATTTTCCTTTGTAGTTTCCGATTTCTGTGAGGTAAAATGTAACATAACATTAGTATCAATATAATATTGTTTTTTCTTACATTAATTTTCATATATAAATTGATTAGGAGAAAATCCTTGACTCACCATTTTTGGCGCAGTGATTGTGAGGATTCCATCTGTGGACAAGACGGACGTGATCGCTGCCATGTCTGTGTGTCGAGGCAAAGAGAAGTAGCGTCTGAAGGAGTGTGACGAGACGGACAGGCTTCCTTCCTCCTTCCTCTCCACGTGTCCTTCCACCAACAGCTCCTCCTCGTCCAACACCTTCACTCACATCTCCTTCCAGAAAGTCATGCACGTCCAGCACAATCAAACAGAATATGATTTTAGCTCTTTGTGGACTTGCTCTGCGAGTTTACACACTAGTTAACCGTGTCTTGTTTAACAGACAGTTGTTATATCGACTCACCTTGTGACTTATTTTGTCAGATGTGACTGTGACAGCCTGGTTCTCTTCCTTGAGGTTGCGAGATCGAAGCTGTCTGTATCGGTCCATAATATCCTCCCGGCGGAAGTCTTTCGCTTGGAAATCGTCGCCACTCCATCTGGCCAACACCTCCCTGACGGAGGAGTCAAAGTCCTTGTGTGTGTCCGAGAAAAACGCGTCTTGGAAGAAGCTTCCTCTGCGACTGATGGGGAGGAACACACCCCACGCCCTGCTGCTTGACCTTGCCTGTCGCGAGCACTTTTCCGCGGGCGTGGAGGAGACTGTCACGTCGTAGGACTTTTCCATCTGAATGGGCGCCATTTTCAAAAGAGGAATATGTATACACTTGTGCTATGACTTGAGAGGAGATCGTTGGAGGCACGTGCGCTGAAACTGAAGGTAGTTGGGAGGACAGCAAACATATATACCGTTTGGCGAATGCGAGCGTGTGACGTGGCAAGGGCGTCACTTGGCAGGAGCAGCTTTTGCGTGGATGCCAAAATCCAGATACGTGACTAAACGCCTTTGTATTGGCACTGGCGGTTCCTGAGTAACAAGGGAGATTCAGCGCCATTGTGATCAGGATATTTAAGATTTTTTACTATGTTCCAGGAATTGAAAAGAAGACATTTTTACCTTGAATCCTAAATACACGCGCGCGTTTTGTAAATGCATATATTTTATGGTGTGTGTGTGCTTGTGTGTATGTTAGTGTGCATATATATATGTGCGTGTGTTTGTTTGTTTGTGTTTATATCTATACCATGTTTATACAAATATGCATATATACATACATACATAATATTATATATATATATATATATATATATATATATATATATAATATATAAACATTTATATAATGTATGTGTGAATTTTTGTGCATACATGTACATATATATATATATATATATATATATAATATATATATATATATATATATATATAGATAGATAGATAGATAGATTCATGTATGTATGTATACACACACACTATATATAAAAAATATATATATATATATATATATACATATATATAATAGTATGTATGTATATACACATATATATACATATATGTATAT